CTTCGTAGAAGAGTTCTTCCCTTTATGGAGAATTGACAATCTAAGGGACCAAATTGCTCATTTTTCGGCAACTTGCTTCTAAGTAGTTGTACGAAGCATGGGAGCGAATTCAGGAGCTCATTGGCTCTTTCCCTCATCATGGGTTCGGGCAAGAACAGTTAACAAATATCTTTGATAAATGTCTCAACCTAAACACCACTATGATGGTGAATCAGGATGTCGAAGGTGGCGTACGCAAATGACCACTCCTCTAGCTCTTGAGCATTTCACGTCAATAACAGAAGCCAGCCGACTACCCAAGTATATCATTGACCAATGCACCGTATCTTCATGACGCGCATTAGGATGGTAAGGCTCCATCTAATCCTAATTGGGTAAGAAAATCTAATCCGACACCGACATGATTCGATAGGCGACCTGATCCATTAAAGGACCAAAATGAGAACCCTCCTAATCCTCTAGGAGTACATACTGATGATGAGCTTCGAGCATAGATTAGAGGTTAGGAGGCGACCCTCAAGAACTTGGAGTGCCAATTACCTTCCCTTCTGGAGCTTCAAAACACCAACGAAATGCAGGATCTCTTCCGAGCAACACGAAAAACAATCTCAAAGAAGAGATCAAGTCTTTGCGAAAACCAACATGAACCTCACAATATTTTTACCAAGACACGGCCAAAATCATATTATGCCAAGCCTCTTATCTCCAATTTCTAGTCATCGTCTCATCGAGTACAACACCAAAACTCAAGTCGTCACCGACTTTGGAGTCGTACGAACTGCACAAGCATAACCAAAAGTCATCTGGACATAAAGGTTATACTAAGAGAAACAAGAGATGGACTTTGTTGGTCCAAACCTTAATTAAATTATTATTCAATATTATTGTATATGTAGTAACAATTTTTTTTTATTTTTATTTTTGAAAAAAATTAATATGGTTTTCTAACTTGGCCTTAAAATAATTTTTTTAACTTTCATAATCAATGCAGAAGTTCGGTATTTTCATTTATGCGGGCAATCACATCAACTTAGTAAGAACTCGAAGATATTTTATTCTTTGCACGTGAATACTTGAAGCTATTACGAATCACAAAGCATAATCTCCAACCAACTAATGCAATTGTCGAATTAGAAATACATAAAGCAGGAATGCAAAAAAAAATCTATTCGAATTTGCCATTGATCATATATGGTGCATAGAATGACACAAGTGATGATATTGTGCAGAATATATGACCAAATTCATAATTATAACAATACAATCTATCATGTCATGTTATGTTTTTTTTTTTCCAAGAAATGTCAAGAGAGAACCTATACAATCTACCCCGACCCTGCCCAACCCAATACATCAGTGAAGCCAACCCACAAAATCAAAGGCGCCTAACTCTAAAGGGGAGAGTAACAGTGCCTTCTGCGCCACTCTATGGGCAGCACTGTTAGCAGTCCGAGGAACTGCCCTAAACTCTAAAGAAACAGAGATAGAAGAAAGGAGAAGGAAACAATCCCTAAGCACCGGACCTCCAATGGAATCGGAGAGAGCACCTTGACGAAGCTGACGAACCACCACCTCTGAATCTCCTTCTATGATGACCCGAGGCAACAACTTGGAGACAACAAGGGCGACGGCGTCCCTAGCTGCTAGGAGCTCCGCAAGATAGGGATCAGCAATACCAGGATGGAGGGATCCTAACGCCAGAGCCACATGCCCATCTGAACTGCGCACCACAAGACCAGACGAGCACCCAGAGGAACGAACAGCAGCATCAAAGTTGATCTTCACAAAGCCATCAGGAGGAGGGGACCAAGACGAGAGGCGAGAACGGGGAGGCTGGGGCGGAGCAGGGACCAAAGGAAGGGAGGAAGACAATTCGCGAACTTGGAAAAAACACTGACGAGCGAGAGACTGGGCATGAGGTTGGACATGCTCAAAGACCACCTTATGTCATGTTATGTTGAACAAGCTAACTACACTAGATGGCTTCCGACTAGAGTTGCAAAGCTTTCAAAATTTTGGTTGTTCTAGTTAAGTTCTCTCTTTTAATGCGCCATGGTTGCTATTGTTATTGTAGGCAAAGTGTGGACTCAACCTTGATTTCTTTAGACTTGTATTAATCAAGTGAGCTTAATAAAATGCTAACTACTGGGAAAGAATCACACTATCGAAACAGACGATTCTCGATAACTTGAATGCTTAACGACTCCAATAGTAGAGAGGAATAAATCAAGTCCTAGAGAAATAAATCAAGGGACAAAACTGACATTTTCCCTCCTATTTGCAGGTGTCGGGTCATCTAAATCTCGGTTCATCCACGATTGGCAATTTTTTCAATGGAAGTTTTAACAGAATGGCATGTTTGATTATTTTTCCAAAGTATGGGACCAGCTTTGGTGTAAAAAATAGTAGATGGACATGTTTAATAAAACGACATAATAGAATGACATATTATACCTATAAATAGAAGTCTTGTATCAATCGGTAACAGCTACATGATTAATATAAAACTATATGAATTGCTTCTTTTGCTGGGGAAGAGAAGGGAAGAAAGAGTCCCCGCAAAGGACTGCTATTGTTGGGGAACAACAGCAGATTACAACTGGAGAAGAAAAAGCAGTTGAAATCTTCCCTTTGTGCGTCAATTGGGTCCAAGCTTTGGCTGCTTCCATTTTAAAAGTAGCAAAGTGAAACCGCGTTTCCATCCACTTCCAGGCGCCTTTGGGGATTTCGGCTTGTGCAAAGGGAAGAAACTGCGAGCAGATAAGGGATGGTGAGAACTCAAAAGGTCAAAAGCAGCTGCATGAGACAAAACCCAAACACCATTGAAAGGGGGAGAAATAGAAAAATAACACAAAGAGAGCTTTTTGGGATAAGAGAAAACCCAACCCAGTTATGACTTTGCTTTCACATAATCTCAAAGTCAATATGTTTTGGATTTTCTATAAAAAAAAATCACACTTAAGTTTTAGTATTTTGTTTCAGATTGTTGTTGTTGCAATTATTGAGAAGTGGGAGAGGGTAGCCTGTATGAAGTAGAGGAAGACTAGCTAGAAGTCGTTTTGTACTTTTTTTCAGTTGACTTGTAATTCACAAGATAGCAATACAGGTGTTATGCAGAAATACCCACAGCAGCTTTGACATTAAACTCATTTCACAAGTATTATTACTCTTTTCTTGTAGTGCAACTATCCCAAATTACTTGAAACCGTCGCAATTGGATTGATACTAAAGATAAAACTTAGTATCATAATCAAATAACAAAAGAAGTACAAGTAGCATAATCAAATCGAGAAAACGATTGATCATCTAATCCAATTTGATCATGTACCAATTCAATCTAGAAGTTCTTCTTCCTTTTGGATTCTATTTAAACTCAGATTCTGCACTTCCGCTCTATCCAAAAGTCAATTCAATTCGTGAGAGTGTGATGGTGAACAATGGCACGGTTTATGTTGTCCCTACTCTTTGTCTGACTTTGTGGAAGAATAGGTTTGCTCCTGAGAGGAAGCCAACCCAGCAGCAGTAGACTTGGCGGTACGAAGCAATAAACATAGACGACCTTAAGATACGGCCGCCGGGTTCCCTAAGAAGTGTCTCTTTCTGAGTTCTGACCAAATAGGCATATATATTTGTATCATGAAATATATGAACTGGGGACGACTAAAGATAATAAGACATAATAACACTATTATCAACAAAGATTAATTAAAGCTGATTACCATAGAAAATAAGATTAACATAATACAATCGTTGCCATGTCACAGTCATGGCCATGGCCCCCCTCAATCAACCAAGTCCATCTGCTGTTGTACCAACCTCTTCTTTCGTTTATTTACTATGACTATGAGGGCTGATTTTTTTGAGTGGAGAAATAATTTAACATAATACAATACAAAGGAGAGATCAGAGACGGGATCAAAAGGAAGTAACTTTCGGAACCAACTTGAGTTTTTGATGACGATGACCTTCTCATTTGGCATGATTTACGCTCTGGGTCTATTTGGCCCAGCCAGCCAGACAGCGCTTTGTCGGTAACACAAAGGCAAGGCAAAGGTTGCCTACGTTACGTTACAGTACGAGTCTGCATTTTTTTTAAAATGTACATCTATCTGGGTAAAGGAGATGCCTCTTTGACTTGGAAATGCAGACCATTTTTGAGTCTAGTACTACAGACTACAGAGCACAGCATGGAATCAAAAGATGGCAATATAGCACTCAATTAATTCTATGTACAGCAAGGAAAGATCGACATACCAAGTGCGTTATCAGTGGAGCACGTACTTAACAGGTAGACAGCCTGTTCAGTCAAGTCTTCAGTTGCACACCCAATTCAGGGAGGAAATGAAGATGAAACCAGATACCAAGGATTTGAAGCGGTCATCGTTACTGTTACTGCAGAGGTAATTCCGGTGTTCTCGTCTTTCACTTGATCTGCTCATACCTCTAGGATAGGAGGTCATTGGTACAATCTGCAGTCATGAACAAAGGAGAAAAAAGGGAGAAGGGATTGAAGAAATAAGAATACGAAGAACTTTCGGCCAGGAAAGCTCAAAATCTCTAATCAGTTCTAATTGTCCTAACTTGGAGATGAAAATAACAACTTAGATTCTCACTTCTGCATGGGACATATTTGTTTGATATGTTCCTTTATCTAAATGATGAACTACACATCCGCTTCAAGACAGCAACTGAAAGAAGGAAACAGTCGGAGGAAGATGACAAGATTGAAGCGCCAACATACCTTCTAACAACCTGCTAGGCACGAACAAGCATCGAACAGTATGTCCGGTTAGATTGGCCAACCTCACTAGTGCTCAAAATTGGACCAGAAAGTGGGGTCAATGCAAAAGGCAGCCATGCTTCATGTCTGAAAAGCTCAAAAATATATCATGCAGCTACATATATTTCAGCCCTTCTTTGCTCCAAGAGGGAAACCAGTACAAAACTAGCTGTTCCCATCTCAAACAACTCGGCCTTCCTAGTAATTTCACTATAAATGGCTATAAAATTGTAGCTTTTTCATGAACTCCACCCCGGTGCTGTCTACGAGCTCTCCTCTTCTTTGGATCTTGTTTTAACTTGGCTTTCTCTTTTAAATCCCTCTCTCCTCGTCGTTTGTACATCTTGAATGTCATCTGCCTCTCTGCTGCCATCTGCCTGACCTTCTCTGTGATTTCTGCAGCAAATTGTCTGTTGTACAACTTCCTTAAGCCACGCATTAGTCTAGCAAAAGTATCAGGACGTGGCATGACATCAGCATCCATCATCTCCAGGCAATACGAGCAAGCCTCCTTCACATGCCCACTTGAGAACAGTGCATGTAGCCAAATTGTCCAGGCATCCAGATTGAGATCACATCCTTTAGCCATAATACAGTTCCAAGTATCTTTAGCCAGTTCAAGCTTCCCGTCTCTTAGCAGAGTGTTCAATAAGTCCTTCAAGATGCCATATTGAGGAGCAGATAGCAACCCTCTCCCGACCATTTCTTTGAAATACTCACAAGCCTGCACTAAACCTCCTTCCTGGCCAATGAACCCATTAATCATAATCACATAGGTATCAAACCCTGGGCTAAAGGGACTTGCTTCCAACTCATTCCAGAGCCGAACGCCCTCACTCACCTCACCCAACTTACAAGCAAGTCGGATTGCCACATTATATATACAAAGATCAGGGGTGCAGCCATCATTCTGCATCCGCCCCATCAAATCTATGCACTCTTCCAGTTCATCCTTCCTCTCGTGGGCCAACATAATATGCATGTAAGTCAACTGATTAGGCATCAGGCCTTTCTTTACCATACCGTCCAAAATCTGATACCCCTTCTCAACCTTGCCCCATTTGCAGAAGCCACTGATCAATGTAGTATAAGTTACAATATCAGCCTCACATCCATTTCTTTCCATCTCAACAAACACCCTCATAGCATCCTCCATCTTTTGCAGCTTGGAGAGAGCCTGAATCAAAATTGTATAAGAATTAGCATTTGGTTCACACCCTTTCCTCCTCATCTCCTTCAACAAATCAAATGCATCAACCATTTTGCCTGCCATTGCATACCCGCTCAAAAGATTATTATACACAACAATATCTGGTTCGTACCCAGCTTCTCTTATCTGCACCAAAACATGCTTAGCCTCCATTAACTTCCCTTCTTTGCACCAACCATACAACAAAGCAGTGAAGTGCCTCAAGCTAGGCTCAAACCTCATTCGCATGTCCTCAAACAGCAAGGCAGCTTCCTTAACGTGACCATTTTTACATAACGCATCTAATAAGCAGCCAAATGCATAGTCATCGGGCTCACATCCATATTTGGGCATTTCATCCAACACCTCAATTGCCTTCTTAACCATTCTAGCAGCAGCAAATCTTCTCATCAAAACTACAAACAAATCACTCGTTATCAACATGCTGTTATCATTCCGCATTTCCTCGAGCAAAGCCCAAACAGTTCCAAATTGTCTCATTTTGCTCAAAATTTTCACCATAGCCTTATAGTTCTCATAACTGTGCCTATACCCAGGCTGCTTGGACGCCCACACAAAGAACCGATACCCCAAATTCCCTGCATCGCCACAACGATTCAAAACGCGCTCCGTCAACCCAGCACGTACGGGAACACCCGATTCTTGTAAAGCAAGCTCTAATTTAGGAACCCTTGAATGGAATTTCCTGAGAATTCTATAAACTTTCTCCACATCCCTTGCAAACTCGTCAAAGTTGTTGACTTTATCATCTTGCTCAAGGTGCCCATTCAAACACACAACACCAAACCGATCTGCTCCATCATCTGAAGTGGAGCTCCCATTGGCTAGGTTATGGAGTTTCTGGCATGGCTGTTTCCACGTGAGATAGAAAGGGCCACATTTCAGTTGAGAGGGAAGAGGAGCAGAATGTTCCTTAACAAGATTGCATATACGCAAGAAAACTCGCTGCATTTCGCCAATCAGCTGAAGTTGTCTGCAAAAAAGATGAAACATTTGGAACCCATCAATCATACGAGATTAGTTAACGAGAGAAAGTTCATGATCATTAGCAAATAACATTCATTTACACACTCATAGCATGCTGCATTATTGCTTCACAAGCACTTTGATAACCATGAGACAGAGATGTCTGGTCCGCGTCTAATTTTTGGCAGCTGATCTCCTCCAGAAAATAAATTGAGCTTGTAGGAGATCAAATGCGGAAGTTGTTTTATCTTACAGTTTAGAAGTCTGAATTCCATACCTCGGGACAGATATGCGAGCCGATAAGCTCAATAAACGACTCCAGGTTTAACGCCTCGCCATTATTGCTGAAAATCGCAACCAATCCAGAAGTGTATTGCTGCTCTTCGCAAAATAAACCTCAGTACTTACAGTTAGAAGAACAAATGAAAACACAGAAATCGAATTGAACTGCTTTCAAACTAGAACTAGTAAGTAGTACGTAAACTTAATTCAGAGTGAAAAGTTGAGAAACTAAATGGGGAGAAGATTAGAACGGCAAGCGGAAAAAGGTCTTGCCTTAGAGATTCGCAAGGAGGCAGGTACAGCAGCTAGCAGATGAAAAGAGAAGCAGTCGAGGCAGAGGTTCCGTATGGGGATTGGGCGTGGATTTGAAGGGAAGGTCTTCAAATTGTTGTCGGTACACTGTGGGGAAGCCTCGACGGTCAGAGGGGCGTCGTGCGGCGGCGATGTAGGAGTAGTGACCGAGAGAGTTGTGGGAGTGGGAGTGGGAGTGAAGATCGGCCTACTCAACTCAAGGAAGATTACCTCAATTCTGAGAAAGTTCCCCCGCCGGGGGTACATTCCCAATATTAGGGGTGGGCATCGGTTCGGTTCGGTTCGGTTCAAACCGAACCAAATTAAGCATACCGGTACCCTAATATAATTCAAAGTTGAAACCGATCTCGAACCGAAATATATTTCGGTTCGGTCTGGCCGAACTGAAATATATTTCGGTTCGGTCTGGCCGAACTGAAATATATTTCGGTTCGGAACTAAAAAACCGACGAACCCGACTTCTCTCCTTGCTTTCCCTACTTCATCTTCTCATTGAAGACCCACAGCACAAAAATCAAAACCCAATCTTCCTTCTCCCTCTCCCACCTCCTCTTCTTCCTTCTCCCACCCCCCAGCAGCATCAGAGTTCAACTTCGCCCAGAAGCAGTCGCTGGTCGCATTCCCTAGCCCAGAGGAAGCATCACCGCCATGGCCGCCTCCTCGAGAAACTTTCTTCTGAATCGTCAGATCCGCCGGCGAAAGGATAAATCATGCTTCGCTCCCTCCGCCGCCGTGGTCGCGCTCAGCTCCCTCCGCTGCCGTGGTCGCGCTCAGCTTCCCCCGCCGCCGTGGTCGTCCTCTCCCACTGCGACCCTTCCACTTCCCGACGCCTGCATGTGGCTGTCGACGACGCGATTGGATTGAAGGGGATGCATATTGGGTGTGGCTGGGAGGTGATTTTGCTGGAGACGAGCTATTTCCCCCAGAATCTCCATCAAATCTGCCAAGTCTTCTCTAGTCTCCTTTCTCTGCCGGCGGCGGCGATTGTTGCATGTGAGTGATATGATTGAGAGTGGTTAGTGGTGAGGTTTGGTCTGGGCTAGGGTTCCACTAACAAATGTAGAGAGGGAGGGCTTGGGCTTTGGGGTTGTGGGCTCTGGGATTGGGATGTGAGTGTGTGAGATTGGGCTTTGGGTTGTGGGCTATGAGTGTGAGAGTTGGGGATGTTCGGTTGCTCGGTTCGGAATCGGAAACTCGGTTCGGTTGGCCAGATCCTGGTTTCCGAAATATAGGTTTTTCAGTTCCGAATTCCGAACCGAATAAGAAATCTTCGGTTTCGGTTCGGGTTTGCTCGGTTTCGGTCCGGTTCGGTCCGGGTTTACCGAACCGGATGCCCACCCCTACCCAATATAGTCATTTTTATTTATTTATCACCAATATGGCGGTTTTAAATTTATTTATTTGTGTTTTTTAGGGAAAGGGAGCGCGAGTCCGTGTGAGACCGAAGCGGACCCGCTATATATGTATTTTGATGTAAAAAGCGCGGGTCTGCGTAGGACTGGCGCGGAGCTACTGTCTCTGTTTTAAAGTGCGCTGACAGATTCCCTTAACATTGACCAGCGAACCCGCACTAGTCTCATACGGACTCGCAGCCTTTCCTACCCCACTCATCATATATATCATCGTCCATTTTCTTTCCTTTCAGTATCCTCACCACACCAAAAACTTATACGAAACTAAACAAGAGGGAGGAGCTCTGTTGGTTTCTGCAAAGATGGCTAGGTAAGAGACACATTTATTTTTTTCATTATATTATTACAATTCTATTATAATTTTCTTTAGTTAGTAATTAGTGAATTTGTTTGTTATGTAGTGATTTTAGGAGATTTGAACTAGTTGTTCGGTGGAAATCGAAGAAAGTAGAGGACAATTTGGGCGTCCATTTCGCTGGTGGTAGAAAATTTCAGTTGACATTTCCATGTGGGGTGACATATCATCAATTTTGTGAGAATCTAATCCCGAGAATACGGCGTAGAGACGAAGCAGTACAAGATAGTGATATGATCACAGGTTTCACTTACCGTCTTCCAGAATGGCAGAATGGTATTCTATTTGATTATGTGATGCCTATTGTGGATGATGATGACTTGAATGTGCATTTCGATTTTATGGCACAAACCCCTTATTGTTTGGGTGCTGAGATTAGCCTAGCTGATCAGGGTGAAGATGAGACATGGAGTGTGTCATCTGATCATGATTATGACGACGAAGACGACGAGGAGGAGGAGGAGGAGGAAGATGGGGAAGAAGATGAGCCTAATTATCCTCCATATTTTTACTTACAGGCTAATGAAGAGGACGGCGAATTATCATATGTTGATTCATATGGCGAAAGTCCAATGCCTATTGTTGCTGGTTTTGAAGGAGAATTCTACAAGGGCCAGATATTTCACTCGAAACAAGCTGCAGAGTTGGCGGTTAAACACCACGCACTACTACGCAACTTTCAGTATGGCGTGGTGGAGTCGTCACCTTCAATCTGGAAGGTTAGATGCTTGAAGCACAAGGATGACAAATGTCCTTGGATGGTGCGGTTTGGATGTCGAGACGTTGGAAGCAAATGGACTATGAGAAAGGCCGAGTTGGTGCATTCTTGTAGCAGTACGACTCAACCGACGGATCATCGCCATCTTGATGTCGACGTTATATCTTTGTCCGTGAAACATTTGGTACGTGCCCAACCAAATCTGAGTGTTCTAACTGTGCAGGCCGAGTTGAAAGATAAATTTAATATGCAAGTTACTTATAAGAAGGCTTGGTATGTGAAACAAAGAGCATTGGAGAAGTTGCATGGAAATTGGGAAGAATCCTACATTATTTGCAAACATTCTTGGGGGTGGTAAAGAGAAAATTGCCAACATTAGTGATCGATTGGGTAAGAGTTCCTTCATCGCAACCAGGTCATTTGATCTTCCAGCGAGTATTCTGGGCTTATGGACCTTGTATAGATGGATTCAAGAATTGTCCAGGAGCCATGGTTGTTGATGGAACATTTCTTACTGGAAAGTATAAAGGAGTGATACTAATGGCGAGCTCATTTGATGGCCGGAATAAGATTTTTTCAATTGCATTTGCCATAGTGGAGAGCGAGAATACTGATAGTTTGCCATGGTTGATAAGACACGTTCAAGATTTGACCGAACGAAACGATGTCTACATCATCTCAGATAGACACGCGGGACTCTATGAAGCCATGAGTAACATCGGAAGAGGTTGGGAGTGGAGATGGTGCATGCAACACTATGCAAGCAACTTGCAAATGAAGACAAAAAGCAAAATTATGTACAACCAACTGTTTCGAGTCGGTAAGCCTTCTTCATCGTTATTGTTATTTATTTTTATGTATTATTTATTTTCATTTAATATTTTCATGAATTTATCTAACTCGTGTGGTTATTTATTTTGTTAGCCCGAGAAAAACGCTTGGAGAAGTTCGATCGTCAAGTTGAGCAATTTAAGAAGATGGTCGCCGAAAGAAATATATCTTGTGATAACTGGGTGGATCAAAATCAACTTCGTTGGAGCTTAGCACATGATAACTATAATTGTGGGCGTCGATGGTCTATGCTGACGACCAACATAGCAGAGAGCATCAATGGTGTTTTTAAAGATATTCGTTCACTTCCTATAGTTTCTCTTGTGCAACATACTTATTGGAGATTATTGGAGAAATTCGATAAAATGAGGTTGGAGACAGAAGCACAAATCAAAAGTGGGAAGTCACAGTACACGAAACCATGTGAAGAACTGATGAAGTCGTGGGCACAAAAGGAAGTTGGACATTCCGTGACAGGGGTTGATCAACGTCAAGGCATCTATGTAGTTCAGACTCCTCCCAACAATTTCAACATGACGGGTTTGAACACACTCATAGTGCATTTCGATGACCACAATCGGGCGGGATTTTGCACTTGTGGGAAATTCCAAGGAAATAAAATTTCTTGCTCTCATGCCATTGCAGCTTGCAACCGAATGGGGGCTAACCCGTAAAGGTTTGTAAACGACATCTATAAGCTTGCAACCGAAACAGTATTGGCTTGTTATGGGACAAGTTTCACACATCTTGGTGAACCTAAGAGGGTGGAAGAAGCACAGTGGCTCTACTCTTCATCCTAATGTGCACATGATTAGGAAGCCTGGGAGGCCACGAATAACAATAATTCACAACGAGATGGATTGGCCAAGAGAGCAAGTAGCTGAACATGATGCATCAACTTCTGGTGGAGGAGCAAGTGGCAGTGGGAGCCAGCGAAGAGGAAGTGGTAGACGTGCGAGAGGTGGTAGAAGAGGAAGTAGTGGTAATAGACGTGGTATGTAGTTTGGCCGACGATTTTCCAGCTGTCGGCAAGATTTAGACCGGTGAGATCGCTCACCTTGTTACCGGTCGCGTGCTTGTCGTCCTCTTTCACAACCTCTTCCTCCAGTGGCCGCCTGTTCTTCGTCGGAATCCGACATCCAAACCAGATTTGGTTTCTTCACTTCCGCGCAAATAAGGAGGAACCTGCGCTGGGTACGGCGGTTCCGCAGGAGATCCGTGCGGATATGCAAGCTGGAAGGCGGACCCGCGCAAGGCAGCGGAGGGGGTGTGCTGCTGCAGAGGGTTGGGGGAGAAAGGGGATTAGATAAAAGAGAGGGATGTAATTTCGCAATAGAATGGGGTGGGATTTTTTAATACGCGAATCCGCAGCAGTCTGGCGATGGTTCGCTTATTAAACTGCCTATATTGAGTCTCACGCGGACTCGCGCTCCCTTCCCCTAAAAACACAATATTTGCATAAATAAATTTAAAACCACCATATTTGTGGTAAATAAAAAAATTACTATATTTTGGAAATTTATCCCCTCGGTGCCAATTTTCGCCCTGCCACAACGAAACGACGCTGGCTGATAGTTTACAAATTTTTACATCTCTAAAAAAAGCTACAATTCTCTCTCCATAGTGTTGCCTAGAAATAGTGTACCTTTTTTTTAAGTAGAAATAGTGTGCCATGGATACCAAATAAGATAAACAAATAAATTATCATCTCAGGTAGGATGGCAAAATAAGTACGGTGAAATTCAAATCGATTTTGGTGGGGAAAATTTGATTGATATTAACCTTAGGTGGATTTTTTCGAACTCGAGAAGAAGCATAATAATGCGTTTGGTGTGGGTTTTGTATTTTAAGTATCCGCACCGAACCCACCCGAATATGTGTTATAAATATGTTCTAGAGTCATTCAAGTTAACACTTCGGTCATCCATATGGCTCAAACATTATTATTTTCTCCTTATCCTAAAATCTTGCCCATTTTCTATCAATTTACAAACAATGAACAAAAATTCCAATTCACATTCACATTCTAAAAAAAAAAAATTAACATTATATCAAAAACTTTTATATATGATTGTTTGGGGATTGTGCGGGTCGGTTTTCCTTGAACCACATCCAAGTTGGTTTTTGGTATATCATATAATATCAACACATATTTAAAGGTACGGGAATGTTTACAATTTTAAAACCATGGTTCTAAGTACGATATATAGAAAACCCGGCCTCGACCGGAAACGTTACCATCCCTAATCTCAGGGGAGATAGTTTGTCTTCATTTCACTCCTGCAGCAGCGTCAGGTCAATGACTTCTTCAAAGCATTTGGTAACGTTCTTGGAACCCATCACCATTTGTCTATCAGAATAGCTTCCTACGAGCATTATTCACTTCATAACCACTCTCAAAAATGCACGTCTCCTCTTCTCAAACGCCTGCATAATCTGCTCTGAGGAGCAATCAATATCTAGCAAACCTTGGCTTCCGGGGAAGCACCGGAAAAACTACGGTCTCAAGGCCTCAGTGCATAAGGTAAAAATTGAAGTCTAGTTCAATTAAACTCTCACATAAGTGCAAAGGGATATCAACAGAGATTCCCTGGTGGAGGAAAAGTAACTAGAAATACAGGCTTTCAGTATTTCGAAAGCAATCCAAACTAACAGGAGCAGCTCTCAGCCGACGCGCAAAATTATGATTTCATCCAATTCCCTTCATAATCTACAACTAGAACGACCACCCATGAACGATAAAAGCACAAATATCAAACATGCCTAGTTCAGCTCCAAGGTCCAGTTCATCTTGTCTTCTGTAAGACCCATCTGGAGACTGGTAAGCACAGTATAGAGCTTTTGTGAGACGGCACCAACACCCCCACCCCCGTACTTCTTCCTGCACTCAACCAAAACTCATGTCTGTAAGTGTCAATTGTGAAGCTCCAATTGCAACTTCAGCAAGCATAAAGGCTGGAATTAAAATCTTTTGGTGGAACGCTACAAATAAAGAGGTTTTAATCATTCTCATTCATAAAGGTCGTTTGTTTGGGTGTATTGGGATAGGAAATATTAAAAAAATTCACTCAAGAAAATGGGTTCCAAATGTCTCTTTCCAGTTTTCTGGCACAATTTCTAGTATAAATGCACTTATGCAGATAATGATTCTGTAGATACACTTCACATGATAGCATGCAATCGAAACAATAACATCAATTTGCAAATACATCTAACCAAGCGCACTCATTGCTCTTTAGGTAAGAATCATGGCTGCATAAGATCAAATTGTCACAATTTAAACTGACAACTTATGATGTACAGTGCATCATGCTCCTAAACCTATATGCTAAAATTGTTAATTTTATAATCTTGGAACTGCATTGAAGTTTCCTCTACACAATAATCAACAGTGTTATCTTTAACTCGTACCTTTCTAGCATAACTCATACAATAGTGTGAAGATCATGACCAATCAGAAAAAAATACTCTGAATCAAATGAATAAATAATTGAGGAAGAAGAGACTTACGTTTCACCCTTGTAGGTAATGCTTCCAACAGGTGATACAACCACCGCTGTTCCAGTACAGAAGACTTCATCAGCATCCAGTAACTCATCCACAGCTACAAGTCGCTCTTCAACCTGAAATACCAGTGGGTTTTGTGAAGGCAATAACACAAGTGTAAACCAGCCGGAATGGTATTCGTGAAGCACAACAATCCATAAACAAGTAGTTCTGATCACCAGGGCTCCGCCTAGATGTTCATCCCAGCTAAGAAAGTTAATGAAACTATAAAAAATAAAAGTAAACCTAGACATCCTCGACACCAAACCTTGTATCCATAACTCTACAAAACCCCAAGCCGCCTACTTGAAAGGTTAATCATCAAAACAGAAGAGGGGAAAACCCCAGATCCATTGCCAACGTCATCTTAAAGTAATGCACAGCACCCACAAATGCATTATTGGACTACTTTAAACACAGCAATGAAGTAAGTATGCAAACAACCTTATACCTGCCAATAACCTCATATGACAATAAAATCTAACATCATTGGTCATGACTGAATATACATACCTGGAACTCTTGGCTTCGAGCAACATCAATTATACTTTTTCTTGTGATGCCAGGAAGGATTGTCCCCTTAATTGCAGGAGTAGATATTGTGTTTCCCTATGAGCAAAGAAAGAAGAAATATGAGGCTCTAGCAGTCTTACTGATCTCTAGGAAACTGCTGAAAACGAAATTCATAACAGGACTTCTCTGCGAGCTAAATGATCTAATTAAGTATATCAAAAGAGTCTATCCAGAAATATACTCACGACTTGTCGATAAGCAAAAATAGAGATATAAGACCAAAGAACATTTGGTAACAAATACCACATACATTATCCAGTCGAATGTCAAAAAAAAAAAAAATATATATGTGCAGAAATGCGAAAGCAGTAGGAAGCATGATCTAGCAAATAGTACTAAAAAGAAGTCAAGCCTATTGTCCTATAAAATAAAGGAAGCGCAAGATGACTTGATAGGGCTGAAGAGCTTTGTAATGAGAACAAAGTCACTTTCACCAGCTATAATTGTTGAAAAGAGGGGGACCAACCAAGACCCCCTAAAAAAAGCTTTGTTCGATAAAGGAAACGATTCGTTCCGACAACTACGGATCTATTAACTGGACAGACAAAATTGGTCCACAGAAAGTCATAATTTGGGAACATTTTATCTTCACAGGTGGAAACGCTGTGAACCCTTTGACAGACTTATATCCTTCAATTTTCACATGTCAAGGATTTATATTACAAAGTTGACATGCCAAAACGAGAAATCTTGATGAAACCAGCTTGAAGTGCAAAAACAATTACCCAAACCGAATATTTTGTAAAGGGATCATCCACTAGTATGTACATTATAAAACAATAAGAAGGTGTCTCCAAAACATGCTGTCATGAAGCTCAACAGCTAAAATGTCTACTTCAGTTGAGTATCCATAACTATACCTTCACAACAAAAATGTTGCATGAGGATACCTCTTCCAGGTACTTCTTATTAACACAGTCAAGATACAAGACATCAGAATAACCTTTGGCTTTGGCAGCCGATTGCGCCTTAAGAACCTGAAAGCAATTAGAAGCACTAATTCAATAGACAAAAACCAAACTAAAAATATCACACCACGTTCTTGATACATATAGAAAAGAAAGATACAGGAAATATGGAGGGGGCGGGGACAAAAAACAGGAAATTGAATATACAGGAGCATAAGTCAATAAAATTCTTGTGTATATAACAAACTGGAGAGCAAGTGAAATATGCGAGTAAAATTCAAAGAAGCTATTAGAGTTACTTACAGCAGCATAATTTCCAATGGTCTTCACACCTCCAGTACCACCAGGAGTTGCCCTATGTAACTCATGCTCAACAATCAAATTGATTGGTGCAAGACCTTCCTGCCATTCAAATGTAAGTACTTACATTGTTAAACTACTATACGACACTTATTTCAGATTGTTAAATTACTTAATCACACCTCTAATGCCAGAAGATAATTGGACTGGAGTGGAATTAATCTAAAGACAGGGCATAACAGATGCAACAGACAGCTGCGAAGCAAATAAGCTGGACCTTGATAGTTAATAACATCTCAATTGCATAAACACAACAGATATGAAAGCTTACGCACTATCAAGGGAAAAAGGATTGGATAATATAAACCAAAAGCCTTTCCACAATCAGCACCAGAGTGTAATATATAAATATAACATGACAAGTCAAAGGTTTCAACCTTAACTTGTACTAAACACTAAGAAGGAACAAGCAAACATACCTTGAAGTAGTTTCCTACAGGTGAAACGTAGATCAAAAAGGTGTATTCAGGTGCAGGTGCAAGACCAAGGACAGCTCCACTTCCCATGAGCAATGGCCGTATGTATAAGGACCCCTTACCAGGAGGGGGTACCTGAGTCAGGAAAGCTACTTTAAGCATTCCAAAATTGTATTGTCAATGACGCATAGAACTAGCAAGAGAAAGCTGGACTTAAGATTTACCCAACGCTTATTTGCCAAAACTGTCGCTTTTACAGCTTCCACAAACTGTTCAACGGTAGGAGCTGGCATGCACATCCTCTCAGCACCCGTTTGCATGCGGGTAGCATTTTCCTCGGGACGAAATAAGAGGATATTTCCATCTTCTTTCATATAAGCCTTCAAACCTTCAAAAAGCCCCTGTGGGAAAACAGATCACACCAACAACAATGTTAGCTGCTGTGCTTAATGAAAATAGTTGGTGTAATGCAACAGACTACACTGCAATGTGCATTGTGCATAATCAAAGGGGAGAGAAAGAGGTGTCGGATATGCAGTCCATCAATGACACCAAGTATACATGGCAAAGAAGCAAATGCATCTTCTCGAATGATAGGGTCTCGCCAATTATAAACTTCGACATGCATTTTGAATTGCTAGCACAAATTTGAGACAAAAGATAACTTATTAGCCATAAAGCCCTATCTTTCTTCCTGCTTTGGAGAAGCTTATAGAGTAACTCGATTTTGATTCATCGGATGTTGGAGTACAGATGAAGCTTTTTGGACTCTGAATAGTCATCCCTGAATGCACAGAGAGGACGAAAGGGGGAAACACTTGGACAGGAAGTCCAGTTTAGCTGTTCTTGGTCCCACTAAATTTGTAGAAAACAGAAGCATGGGTCATCCGACTCAATCACAAAGCTTTCCCGAGCAGGGAAAAAGCTTCTGCTTGGTAATATTAACTATTGAATGCAAAAATGGGGCAATCCGAAACCAATTTCAGTTGAGCCAACAAATGCACAAATGCCTAACCTGGCCATAGTTTAGCACTCCAGCAGAAGGGCTCAATTCAATGTTCGCAAAGCGCTGCAGTTCGCCATTAGAAAAGGTCCCGCCTTGGTCACATTTCATCATATACATATAATCAGTCGCTATGTATCCGAACCCCAGATTGTCCCAGTCTATACTAGCCACGTCGGCCGGTCCAGTGCTGCATCAACCGAACCAAAAAAACAAGCCCGATATGAACAGATTCTTCCAATCACGAATCAGACTTACTCAGGGGAAAACGAAATCAAGCTAACCTGTAGGTGCCGGAAGCGACGGCATCCCGCTTGAAAGGGGAGACGGAATGCACAGCGGTAAGAGAAGGGAGCTGCTTCTGTAGCTGCTAAGATTGAGGGGGGGAAAAAGACTGAAATCGTCAAGAGACCGAGAAAAAATAACAACAGAAAACGGCAAACGAAAGGGAAATGTCAGTGAAGGAAGAGAAGGACCTTGAGAAACAGAGATGGAGGATTGAAGGCACCGAGACTCCTATCAGCAGCGAAGGACGATGAGGAGGGGGAAGATGAAGATGAGAAACGGAGAAGGGAGGATGCAGTACGCGACGGAGGGAGAAGGTGATTGGATGGCAGACCTCCAAGCACGGCGGTTCTCTCCATTTTTCTGGTGATCGAATAATCAGCTTTTTTGTGTTTGCTGCTGTGGAGGGGGCTGGCCGCCGCTGTGGCTCGTCGACCGTTTCTGCTCTTCTGCTGGTTAGTGTGGGTGGCGGGCGGGCGGGCGCTAATGGAGAAGACTTAGCTTCGGCAGGTGCAGGACCAATGGTGTGCCGCCGTTTTAAGTTTTAACCTAGTATGTGTATTGACTATTGAGTGAGTATTGACTTTCTTTTTTTTTTTTTAACTCGTTTTCTACTTTTTAGTGAAATGATAAATATTTTACAATAAAAATAGAATGGGATAATTATTTTTTAAGCGCATTTTAGTTTTTAATTTGGGCTAATTCCATTAGAACCTTCCAACTCTAAAAAATTGTCACTTTTATTCTAAAGTATTCAATATGACAATGTTCGCGAAACTATTTTTTCGTTAACATTAACTGACCATCGTTGATTGTTAGTATTTAACAGAAAATCCAATCAGCATCAATTTGACATCTGACATGAAAATTTTAATCTCAATTTATATTTGTTTCCCATCTCAATTTTTTATTTAGCCGTTAGAGAATATTCTGGTTATTTTGTTATTGTGTTTGTTCTAGTTGGAACAGCATTAGTAGTAATTATGTTAGTATATAATTAATGTGTCTTGTAAGGGAAGAAAATGAATTTAAGTAGAAAAGGGAGGAGGAATTTTACAATGCTATATAGCATTGGTGCTATAAGTTTTTTCTTTATGGTACAATTTGAAATTGTACCTGTAACGTTATGGTACAACTTCATATTGTACCTATACTTTTTGTACAAATTCTTTTATGGTACAACTTAAACTTGTACCTTATGTGATGGTACAACTTCAAATTGTAAAGTTGTACCATAACATAATGATACAAATTCGTTTATGGTACAATCTAAACTTATACATTTAATGTTATGGTACAACTTCAAGTTGTACATTAAAGCACCAATACTATATAGCATAGTAGAAGTGCTCGAAAGGGAGAGGCAAAAGCCTTGAGTGAGAAGGAAGAGATATTGTGTAACTCTATAAACAGCTGCTTTGTCTATGGTTAAGAATATGTGAATTGGAACCCAATTTATTTTATTAGTAGTTTTGTGGCTAATTTAAAGTAGTTCGGAGACCAAAGATTCGGTACGTAGAAATCAGTTATGTATGTGTATCTATGTAACATTTAAGGCATTCTTTATAATCAATTTATTTGCAATTGTTTGTAATTTTTACCGTATTTAGACTATTTTAGAAATTAAATTCATTTTAATTTCACTTGTGAATCCAAGATAAAAAAATAACATTATGTGGCTTGCAACCTATCAAAGAAATTGTATGAGGATATTAGGTAAAGATACTACTTGAAAATGTTAGGGCAAAAAATTCACCTTCACAGTCAAAACTAACGACTTTGTGACAATAATAACTACTGTTTAAGAATATACACAAAATAGCCCGATTTTGGATGGTAGTTTGACAAATCTAGTCATTTCCATTTAAAACTTTAATGGTTTGGGGAAAGATTTTCTTGGGATCCGAAGGTTTAACCAAGATACCACGGTGATCAGAGAAGTATGTAGCCAAAAACTCAACCACACAACGACGAAGTCTACCTAACCAATCCTCATTAATTAGCTAGCATTCTATCCAACTTCTTAGCAATTGGATTGGTTGTCTGCTGATTAAACCAAGTAAAAAATGGTAATGTGGTATGATGATCTACCACTTTAATCTCCTCTATCCAATCGCAATATGCAACCATACCATATGTAATAGCCACTCCATTAGATGCTTCCATGGGGTTCAATGTAAGATTGAAATCGCCACTTATTATCCATAGGACCATTAACTTTCCACCTTAACAAAGTCGAATAAGTTGCCACCCTTTCCCCTTCATCATTGGAGGCGTAGACAACAATGATAAAAAACTGCTTTGTAGCTGAAAGGGAAATCAGTGCATGAATGATATAGGAGTCTCTAGTTAAGAGTCTCACCTGAAGCCTTGTTTGCCAAGTCAACCACACTTTGCCAAGCTTATGTGATCAGAAAAGCTATCTGAAATCCTAGGGATTTTCACTTTCTGATTAGTGAAGAAAGGAGAGGAAACGAAGACTGAAGTGGAAGAAAGAGGACCACGAGTCTGTGTTTCTTCTTTCCATCAAAAGACAGCGAGAAGGGCTTCTAAGTGAGCGGGCCCAGAACGAGAACAAAAAGAAGGAAGAAGACTTAGGTCAGTTGGGCTTGCAATTTAAAGCCCAACCAAAAGGAAATGTCCTTGACCTTTAGAGAGCTTCTTCTTCCCAGAACAGACAAATGAGAGTGGAAGCAGAGAAGAGGAACAAAACTGAAATGAAAATGCACACAGGATTTTTAACGAGGTCCCCCAATCTACGGGTCAATCCTCGTCTTGGAGATAGCACCTGCTACGCTTCGAGAGACTCTTTTTTATTTCTTTTTCAGCTATGAAAATGAAAACAACTACAAGCAAGAACACAAACTAATTCCCAGATCCAATCCCAGACCCGATTACAACCTCAACGATCAGAACCTTTTCATCTGATGCTGAGCCCCTCAAAATTTCCCAATAGACCTATACCGCTATTATTCTGAGTGCCTAACCAAGAGAAAGAAGACAGTTTATATAGGATCAGAAGGTAGCCGTTGAATTCAAAAGGAGGAAAGTGCTCGCCAAGCTTCCATTTCTGAATCCTTCAATTCCTCAACGGTCAACGACAATCAATCTTCAAATTCAGCGTTGCTCCTGTCAACAATCTCCCCCTAAGTTGGAGATTGAGATTGCCGAAGAAAAGTACCTGCAAAGCAACTTCAAGCACAGTACAACTAGGACAAAGAGAGCAGAAAAACAGTTCAAATAAAACTGAGAAAGTTAACCAAAAGACACAAATCCCGACACAACAGCTTAAAAGAAAAACTCCAAACACAACAAATAACCAGACCGACTGCTAAAGGCATAAACTCTCAAAACAAACCAATCTCCCCCTGAGAAACTAACAACAACCGAAATTAAAAGAGGTCTTCAAGTCCTTCCTCAATAGCCGCGGCAAAGTCGAAGATCGAGCGGTTGCTGGATCCAGAATCAGAATTGGATCCATAAAGTTCTTGAAGAGCAGCTGCAAACGGCTCCAGCACTCTGTCACCTGCATCATTTCCAGGAGCATGTTCGAACTCCAGCACTGAGTCACCAGCATCATCATCAGGATCAGAGTCGGAATCAGAATCAGAGTCGAACTTCAGTACTGCACCACCAGCATCGTCACTAGGATTAGAGTCTGAATCAGAATCAGAGTCGGATATCCAAACTATGTTGACAGGGGGCTCCTCTCCCCCAATGGCAATCTCCAGTTCGTCAAGTACGTCATCAGCAGTGAGCCACAGAGTGGGAGACTTAGTTCGAAACGAGGAGAGAGAGATAGGCAAGGCCAACAGGAGCTGAGTGATGCGAGCCGCAAAATGAAGAGGAGCAAGATGATTGTGATTGACAAAGGGAATGAGTGCTCCAAAAAAACTGTTGAGAGTAATCAAGAGGAACAGCAGCAATCGCATGATTCATAATCCAAACATCCAGATGGGTGATCCGATCAAGCCGGTTCAGGCGAGGTAGGAACACTCTAGTGAGGAAGTAATGAAAAACCTGTAGAGTGGGGCGTAGCACAGAAGAAGGGATGGTACCATCGGGTCCTGGAAGGAAACCTGAGAGGTGTTCCGCTTATTCGTCGAGGCTGAAGTTGATCAGCACAAATTCAGAGACGTCAGCCATATTTTCTCTGAGATCAGAAAGTAGGTTACCGATATCAGCTGCAGGGAGAGTCATGAGATGTCCAGCCACGAGCGACGTCAGAGTGCGAGAGTGAAGACCAAAATAGCGCAGGTTGGAGAAGAACAACCGCACTGCAGCAGAACACACCACAGTGGGTGCATCATCGAGCAAGAATCCCAAACCAAGGTTGTTGACAAGGTGGCGGAAATCAAGACCGAGGTCAATGAAGTCAGGTAAAGGAATGTCCTGAGAGGGGGAAATTTGGTGAGAGGCAAATGACTGAGTATGGCGGTGGTAGTTGATGGGAATTGGCTCATGGAAAAGAGTTCCAGAGAAGGTGAGAGCAAAAACATAAGCCATTGTTGCAGGGAGATGGTAGAGAGTAGAATCTGAAGGGGCGGATGAGGGAAGAGGACACGAGAGGGAGCGTCTTAAAAAGGCTAAACCTAGAGAAACAAATGGAAAGAACGCAGAAGAGAAAAAGGCAAGAAAAATCAAACAACACAAACAACGGGAAGAAAAAAAAAACACAAAGGAAACAAACCAAAAATAGAAAGAAAAATAATAGTACAACATGAAGGAATCGATTTCTCGATTCCGCTTACTCAGACAGAGTGGACAAAGAGCGCAATCCTATGTCGTAATATAGGAAATTGAATCGATCAGCTGGCATGGGTTTAGTGAATAAATCAGCGAGCTGAAATTCAGTGCTGATATATTGGAGAGTAATGACACCAGATTGAACCAAATCACGAATAAAGTGATACTTAACCTCAATATGCTTGGTTCGAGAATGATGAACCGGATTTTTCGACATGCAGATGACACTAGTATTGTCACAAAGTAATGATATAGATGAGAAAGAATGACCATAGTCTGATAACTGGTATGATAGCCAAAGCAATTGGGTGCAAGTACTTCCAGCAGCAATGTATTCTGCCTCAGCAGTAGATAAGGCAACTGCCCCCTGTTTTTTACAGGACCATGATACTAAGGAAGTACCAACGAACTGACAACTTCCAGTGGTACTACGGCGGTCTGTTAAGCTACCACAAAAATCAGAGTCGCTATAGCCTACTAAATCAAAGTTGTGATGCTTTGAATACCGTAGGCCGACATCAAGCGTGCCTTTTAAATAACGAAAAATCCTTTTGATAGCTGATAAGTGACTATCTTTGGGACTTGATTGAAAGCGGGCACAGAGGCATACACTGAATTGTATGTCTGGCCGGCTAGCCGTGAGGTATAAGAGAGACCCTATCATCCCACGATACATGGATTCATCAACCGGAGTACCAGTCTAGTCCTTATCAAGCTTTATGTTAACAGCCATAGGTGTGGGAGCAGTGTTTAAGGATTGGAAGTCAAATTTACGAAGCAT